CAATGGCAATAAAAATGAGACTCAGGCATCTTATCATTTCAGGAGGGCTCTCAGTCCATCCTGGAAACTGGAGTCTCTGGTTTATTCTAGCATCCTCCTAAATAGCTTTCCAACAGTGGGGGTGACTGCAGAAGGCATCTACTATCATCTATATAGCTGATATCAAGTAATTCTTTCAATTCAAGAGTCTCCTAAATAGTTTCTAGGCAGGTAAACAAAGTTCTCAACCCAGGTGCAGGCACACTCAGGGCAGCATAGGTCTATTGTAATGCAAACTAGGAGACATTCTCCACTGAGGCCAAGCCATCAGGTGGCAATTTAGCCAGCATCTGCAAAACAATGGGAGTTCAGTCTCCTGTAAAATGGAGGGGAGGTTTGAACCCTGAGAAACTTTATATTCAATAATTTTTGGTCCCCAACATATTAGATGTAAATCAAAGGATAATCAGCCTATAGTCCATGACCCCAGAGAAGCTAGGTAACAAGGAGAACCCTAAGAGAGATACACATAAATCTCCCTGGGGGGGATTACACAAAATAAATACCATTTCTTAATAAACTTAAATCTAGTAGTGAAGAAAACACATAGTTCAAATATATATCATTTGCTTTTCAAGTAACAGCCATGCTTATTATATAATAAATGTTCAGGACATATTTCCTCTAAGAAGTTGGGCATATATAGACTTTATGTCTATCTCAATGAAAAAAACAAATGTAGCAATTACTATTTGTCTCATTGTCACAGTTGAGAAAAATTAAAAATAATCACTAAAAGATGCCACAAAGTTTTATTTTGAAAAAGGTCTCATCAACCCTGAAAACATCATTAGTGTGTCACATTCCAATCTGAAAAGCTTTATGACCATCGTTTCCTATGTACTAGACTGTAGAAAGAAGTAATAAAAATCATTAGTCAAATAGATGTCATGAATACCTATTTCTAAACAACATGGTGAATGCCATAGAATTCTGAAGCAACAGGCAAGTGAGGTTTAGATAATAAACATGGAAGAAGCCTTAAAGCAAAACTGGACTTTTTAGACCATTAAAAATTCAAAAGGTAGCCAGGCATTGGTGGCACACACCTTTAATCCCAGCACTTGGAAGGCAGAGGCAGGTGGATCTCTGTGAGTTCAAGGCCAGCCTGGTCTCCAGAGCAGTGCCAGGACATGCTCCAAAGCTACACAGAGAAACCTTGTCTCGAAAAACAAAAACAAAACAAACAAAAAAATTTTATGAGTTCAGATTTTAGGATCCCCAAAATTTTCCATGTCCCTGGCAGGAAAGGTTACAGAGAAAGCCTATCCCACCAGCAAGCTGCAAGAGAACTTACTGAGAGAGCATAAACCGAGGTGGGTGCCAAATTTTATTCTTTTGTTTAATTAAAGATAAAGAAGAAAAGAGGAGCACAAAATGAGACATATTAGACATACTAACTGATTTATTATAAGCCCAGCAGAGTAGGGAGACTAAAGGAGAAGAGAAACAGGGTAAATGGCTGACCGCCATGACTGGTCGCCATAGAGAGGCAGAGAAAGTGTGTAGGTGGGAGAAGACAAG